ATGTGTCGGGGGTCTGTCAATGCGTGTGTCTTTCGGTACGTTTCAAAACAGTGAAATTGTGTGCCTGTCATTGAGATTGTATCTCAGTAAGTGTTCCAAATCATACTAAGTACATACCTGTCAGACACTTTAACAGACACACATTCTCACTGGAAGACACAATGACACACACTCTCAATGACAGACACTATCTCGGTGATTTTAAACACACTCACTGGCAGACACACTCTCTGACAGACACACTTACTGAAAGACGAACACCTTCACTGACATGAACACAATTACTGACAAACACACAATCTCACTGATTTGGAACACATTCACTGACAGACACACTCACTGGCAGACGCACACACACACACACACATACTCTCAATGACAGACATACACATACTGACAGACACACACATTTGTATATTTTTGTACACAAAGTAACACATTAATTTTATTTCTTGTTGTTTTCTTATGGTATATATTTTTAAGCTCACCCAGCCTCCCAACCTCTGGGAGAGCTGGTGTTTGTCCTCTCCTTGAGGTCCAGGGGGGATCTTCTCCTAAGTCCATGGGGTCCAGTGGGGATCTTCTCCTGAGCCTCTGAGGTCCAGTGGGGATCTTCCCCTGATTTCCTGTGGACCAGTGACTCCTCTGATCTTCTAGTTCCTCACTAATCCTTCACGCTCTTTACTGATGCCAGGGTAACATCATATTTTAGCTCTCAGCATCACAGAGAACATGCAAGGGAGCAGTGAGGAATTAGAAGATCAACATTCCCCCACTGACTATGTCCTCTCCCCCAGTGTATTTTGGCCAAGAAAGCACCATCACCTTTTGAGCCCCACATGACAAGTCATTGGCCCGTTCCTTGTGGCACCACCCAACTACTGTCACCGGGGTGAAGGGCCCCCCATGCAGCCACCAACGATTGCCCCTAGATGGTGATTTGCTAAATATTTATAAGGTTCACAAATGCAGAATATGACACCAAATGAGTGGGTTAAATAATAAAAGTTACTTTATTAAGCACAAAACAGTATACAGTTATAAGTCATTAATAACAATATATAGTATAATATTTCCAATTACAAGGATTTTAAAATATAACCTAATATAACACCGATTAATTCAGAAAATCAACATCCACACTTGCAGCAGGAGTCTCTCTTTATCAGGAAAAGCAAATAGATCACTGATTAAGCCATTAGCCTAGAGCAGGCATAGGCAACCTTCGGCACTCCAGATGTTTTGTGCTACACCTCCCATGATGCTTTGCCAGCATTATTGGTGTAAGAGCATTATGGGAGATGTAGTCCAAAACATCTGGAGTGCCGAAGGTTGCCTATCCCTGGCCTAGAGTCTCAGATTAATCGGGAAAGTCCCTGAGCAATGTGTTTATTAACTCACAGATAGTGTAATTACACTAAAAGCTGTTTGCCTAAGCAAGTTTATACAAGTGCCATGCACATATCATACATGAGAGATTGCAGCTACTCAAAAAATACAAACCATCAGCCGAACCAGGAGAGCTGGCCAGATGCCCAAAGAGAGTCTGAGTCATGTGATAAGACAACTGCACTTTATTTGGAAGATTCTGGAACTCTGAGTAGTGTGCCCACAATATAATGCTGTACTTTAAAAAAAAACAAAAAACTAAATAGCTCTAAAAAGAGATGATCAATATATATATCCTGACAATTAGGAATACAGATGGACCTTTGAACTCCCTAGAAAAGCTTTTTTTTTTTAATTAATTTGAACTCTACCAGCTCTTATATTATTTACCATAAACTGGCATGATGCAGAGACCAACTTCCTTGACTTAGTCATCTACAAGAATTAACATAGTCTATATTAATCAGTATGCCAAAGCTACATACTGATAGATAAACAGACATATAGAGAGAGACAGACATAGAGATAGACAGAAATATAGATAGATAGATAGATAGATAGACAGACGGACAGACGGACGGACAGACGGACAGACAGATAGACAGACAGATAGATAGATAGATAGATAGACAGACAGACAGGTAGATAGATAGACAGACAGATAGATAGATAGATAGATAGATAGACAGACAGATAGATAAATAGATAAATAGATAGATAGACAGACAGACAGACAGACAGATAGATAGATAGATAGATAGACAGACAGACAGACAGATAGATAGACAGACAGATAGACAGATAGATAGATAGATAGATAGATAGATAGATAGATAGATAGATAGATAGATAGATAGATAGATAATTACAAGCTCTTAATGATATTAGCTGTGTTTTTGTAAATGTAATACCTGCCTATAAGGATACAGATAAACAGATTATATACCTGACTTTAACAATTTTCTAAGTTAGCATATTGAAGGAAGATTATAGGTTATAGAAAAATCAGGTGACAACTATTGGTAAAATATAAAGAGTCAGTACATGCGTTATTTGTAACAGAGAATACATGGTCTACATGCTAAAATGTCCATGTGGTTTGCATTATGTGGGGAAAACAACCCAGAAAATGCGAGAGAGATTCTGGAAACATAAATCAACCATACAGACAGTCTTGGTAGACTTGCCTATCATTGCTGATTTTACAAAAAACAAACATTACATCTCACAGCTACGTCTGGCCTGAAGCAAGAAGAGGGGGAGATAGGTTAAAACGATTAAAACTATGTTCCCTGTCCCCAAAGGGCCTCAGTCAGAAATAATCTTTTACTTTTCATTTTACATACTTTGTTTTTAATATCTTATTTTATTATTTTTTCAGCTAACTTAAGTATTTTTGTGAGTGGTCTCAACATATCCAGCAATTTATCTTAAAAGGATCTCATTGATCTGTCTAACACTTTGTTTGGGATTCTTCTTTGAGTTACTTAGAACTTGGACATTAACAATGGTCAAATCAGGGGTTGCAGAAATGAAATAAAGTTGGTCTTGGATATTTTGCCCAAATGTATTTCTTTGTAGCCTTACCTAGGCATTTGTATTCAAATCTCCAGACATTGTGAAATATGGACAACAGAAACCCATTCACCAGATTTGGGATGTTTAATGTGTCCTGGATCAAAAAAGGGTTTACCATTATTGTCCAAATCAATGGGCTCAGTTTTATTAGCAAATCTTTAACCGATTCATCATCATCAGAGTCTGAATCAGATGATTCAATGGATGAAGTATGATATGAGTTTGCGCCTGGATTAATGTTTTGTCTTTGTTTTACTTTCGGTCTATTGTGTGATTTAGACACACGTTTCTTAATGCTATTGTGAGATAGCGGTTCTTTGATTTTTTTCCTTGTCCTTATTTTTCATGAGAATTTTGCCCTGTTTAGGAGAGAGAATATGACAATCTAAACAATGTTTTCTTTTATGGGTTACTTTACCAGATTTTTTAAAAACTTTCAGCCTATATGCCCTCCTTATATACTGATATATGTTGTTATTATCTGCCAAGGTGGATCTTTATGGTAAAATCCCCTCAGGAGATTCTTCTCTTGTCGCCACTGTGACGAGACCAATCTCGCCACATTGCATTGGAGAAGCCTGGTTGCTCGCCTGCTGCCTCTGGACTATGGGCCCCTTTTAAAAGACTTTATTTCGCCTGGAGAAAAGCTGTATTCATGCTTTTCTGCCAGTTGTTCGGTAGATTCAATCTACCGAACAACCGCACGAATGAATAGACCACCTGGGAGCTGGAGTGTGCCGGCAATTAACCGCAGCTTAATTGACGAATGCTGGGTGGCCGCCATTCGTATCCCGAACACGAGGTCGCGGCCATTTTAAACATACGAATGCACAGCGGTGTTCGCCCCTATTTTCATGGAACTAAAATCGGACACAGTTTTGCGCGAACACCGCTGAAGCCGCCGACCTCCCTTCTTGTTCGGTGGAAGTGCACGAACGGCCCGGTGTTCGGTAGTTTTGGTTGAATGTGTTATACCCCAGATAGGAATCCCATGGAGCCCATTCGTATGAAACTGACTGTAAAGACTTTGGCTCCATGGCGATTAAACTGTATTCGTGTGGTCTGAGCGCCATTCGCTTAATAATGTGCACTCAGACCTGAGCTATCTGGGGATATGTTACATGTCTGTGTTTTATGTAATAAATGTTACTTTATGTATTTTAAAGTATAATACTGGTTTTGTGTCCCCACATGTGTAATGGAGTTTTGCCTTTGTCTTGGGAGATAATTGAGTTACTTCTCAATTATCTCCCAGGGCAGAGGGGAGGAAGCCAGGATGCATTGTGGGAATATACTGTGACTGTGTGTCCTATTTGTCTACTTGTCTGTCCCTTGTCACAGTCTCCCATTTGGTCCCCTAGGGGAGTGTCCACCAGGTGGGAGACCTGCATAAATACTGGGCAGGTAGCCCTCATTAAACAGACCACTGCTTGACCCTCAACACGGAGCCTTGTCTCGTTCTTGGGGGGATTCACTGTATGCTGTTAGAGACTGATTGCCAGGAGTGTAAGCTGATTGTCTGCTTTTCCTGTTCGTCTGCTAGCAGCTATTTGGGAGGTTCCAGTTCGGGAGTTGGAGTGCTATTTTGTATCCAGTTCGGGAGTTTGGTGTTCTGCAGTAGCTGTGCCTGTATCTCTGGAAAGGGGGCCGATCGCCTAAATGGTTTTTACCCCTTTTGTGCAAAACGGTCCGTTACAGCCACCATCTCAACTGGGTTTTTACGGGAGGAGTAAAATTGTTTTCTTTGTTGTTGAACTGCTGTTGAAAATTTGCTTGAATCTCTCTGGAGTTCCATTGGGCCAAATGTACCAGTCATGTTGTGGATGTCAATTAACTACTGTGGATGTTAGTGATCCCAATAGGCTCATGTAGACTATGGCTGAAACTGATGTCCGTAGAAGAAGATGAACGTTGTCTCTGATTTTTGTTATTCTTTCTTGGGAGATATTTACTTTTCCTGAGATTGTGTTTATGTTTGCACTCTAAGAACTTAATTTGGTGAGATAGGATTAGAGAACTCTTCTTGAAATGTATCAGCCAGCCATGCACCTGAAGGCATTCACAGGTTCTGTTGGTATGTACTTCTGAAATTTGACTTGATCATCTAAGTGATGGTAATTGTTTATCCCTTGTTCCTGTGGAAGGCTATCAATACCATTAGTATTTTCATAAAGATTCTGGGTGCCTCTGAACTGGACATGTTCCCTGAAGATGTGGAACCGGAGAAGCCTGCAGTACTGATGGTGAATGGGAGTCTGATAGTATGCATCTTTTAGATCTATTGATATCATGGTGTAATAGTGGAAATAGACTCCATCTTGAAAGATAGTCTTATCAGGTAATTGTTGATTTCCTGCAGTTCTATTATCAGTCTCCATTCTGCATTCGGCTTTTTTGCCAGGAAGATGATAGAATAAATACCTTTGACATTTTCTGGTGTGGGAACTTTATCTATGACCCATTGCAGAAAGAGTTTTGAGATGTTGTTTCTCATGGCTATATCCTTCTCTCCCTTGGCAATTGTGTATTATTTTAAAATGTTTGAATTTGGAAAAGTATCGGATTACAGTCTGTGTCCTTGATTTATTATAGACAGAACCCAGGAGTCTGAGGTATTTGTTGCCCAGACAGAGTGGAACTTTTGTGATCTTCCTCCTATTAGGTCTGGCTGGATCTGCACACCTTAAGATATTTTTGAAGATGTTCTGGAACCTCTTCCTCTGTTTGACTTTGGATTGGAAGAAGAAGATTGGAAAGCTCTCCCAGATGAATAACTGGAATATTCCTTTCTGGACTTGCGTATACTGATAGAGCCATTCCTTTGGCAATCATCTTAGTAATCTTAGCCTCTCAACTGAAGTCTGTGGCCATTCTAAAATCACTGAGGTTCACAATGATTTTGATCTCTTCTAACCCCAGAATAATTGTCTTCTTCTAGATGGTCTATCCAAACTCTCACAGCTCTAGATAATGGGCTAGGTAAGCCTTAATTAGGTTGGCATCCAGTCTTTTCTCCAAAGGGTCTCTAAGGTAGGCCATGGAGTCTATGGATAAAGTGGTTCTTTATGCTGTCTGTATAACAGCAGCAGAATAGATTTCCATGATTTGCAGTCTTTAGAAGCAAAGTAATAAAAAAATTTAGGTTTTTCTCTTAAGTATTGACTCCTTTTCTGGCCTTGCCCATTCTTGAATGATGCACAGGGAATGTAGGCTTTACTGGTTTAAGCTCTTCGGATTCCCTAGTTTCCGTTTTTTTCTTCAGGAATATAGAGTGTGTCTGATAAGGGATATCAATACATCTCTTGAGTCAAATGACTTTGTAGAGAGTAATCTATATAATCTTCATATTTCTCTGATATATTTACCAAATAGTCAGGATCAGAAGAGGACAAATCTCTCTTTATTCATTTAGACTGGGTTACATTTTTGTTGTTGCCTTAAAACCTTCAGTAATGGCCTGAGAAATTCAGGAATTGAGTTCTTCCTGGGATGATGGCTTAGGATGAGTATATATTGGTATATTTTTACTGAATCCCATGCACCGGTTGGACTTATATTTGTGTTTTCAAAAGTGGGGAAGAGTCTCTTTCTTGGCTTATGCTTGGGCTGCAAAATATGAGGCCATGCACATATGATGAGGTATTAATTGGAACTCTTATGTTCCTTCAATCCCTATTAAATAGTTGTCTCACCCATGTTTCTTGGACCCAGAAAAGAGTGAGGCAGAGGGAGAAGCCAGTTGTAAACATTCTAATTGTTTTGGTGCTAAACTGCTAAATAGTACATTTGCAGCCTGCACTTCATATCTGAGAGTCAAATAGAAGCGTCATGTAACCCATGGAGCAGCGTAGCTAAGGGGAGTGGGCCTTGACATTGCTAGGAGACAGGCACCTAGTTACAGTTAGCTGGGGATTGGTTAAGAAAATGGATGTGGGGTGGAGTTATAAGGTGGAGTTATAAAAAGGGGTCATTTTAGATCTAGGGGTAACTTTAATCTAAGTGGCACTTACCTGTTGTTGTCCCACCCACCCTCCCTTTGCTTTCAGGTATTACCTGTCTCACAGCAGCGGGGGATGGAGAGTAAAGTTGGGGGGAGAAAAGAGTGAGATGGGGTAAAATTTGGAGTTCAGGGCTAATAGGTAGGCCTTAGGACTGGTTTGGTAGGTTCGAGTTTGTTTGTAGCTCCGAACCTGGGTGTGTAGGGTTGTCTCGGTATGCCCCTACACTTGTGGTACCCTTTGGTGGCAATGGGTGGTGCCTTTTGACTATGGACCGGCATTTAAATACTTTATTTTCCTATGCAGAAAGGTCTATTCATGTTTTCTGCCCTGGCGTTCGGTAGATTCTCGGATTTACTGAATGAACTCATATAACCCAGATAGCTATGCCATTCGTGTAGGAGCCTATTCGTGTAATAAAAGACTTTGGCTCCATGGCAATTGAACTGTATGTGTGTGTGGTCTGAGCTCCATTTAGTATTAATGTGCGCTCAGACCTAAGCTATCTGGGCATATGTTGCATGTCTGTATTTTACTGCCATGTGCTTAATGGAGTTTTGCCTCTGTCCATGGAGATAATTGGATTACTTCCCAATTATCTCCAGGATAGAAGACTCTGTGGAACTGGTTTTGGGCAGAAAAGCCATGCTTCCTTTGGTCACAAAGGACTATGATCTATCTTTTGAACCACTGGACCAATTTGGATGATTTTGACATATGTTTGTATTTGGAGTATGCTTATTCTGAAAATGTGAATGTGATGCATACTTTTCAAGTTATGAATAATGTGGAAAAACTGTATTTCTCTGGCTGTGATAATTACATTACCCATTGTGTAAGGTAATTGTATCACAGGCAGAGGGGAGGATTTTGTGTGGGAGTGTCTAAGTGTATTGTACGTGTTTATTGGTTGTTTTCCAAAATCCTGTGGGTGGTACTAATGTGTAAGAATGTGTACATAAGAACAATAAACCCACAGCTCTGTCTGTTCACTGCTTGACCCTCAACACAGAGCTTTGTCTCATTCTTGGGGGGATTTACTGTATGCTGTTCCAGTTTGACTGCTAGGAGTGTAAACCTATTCATATGTTTTTTCCTATTCGGCTGTTTACAGCATTCGTATGGTTCCGGTTCATCTGTTTACGGCATTCATATGCTTCTCTGGTTCGGTGCATTGGTGTCTACAGTAGCTGTCTGTATATCTGGAAGGGAATAGCTCCTAAACGGCTTTTAACCCCTTTTATGCCTGGGAGTGCCGTCACACTGTGATATAACTTTGCCAAAATTACGGTGTCAGTGTTTTATTGGTAAAATGGGTAATGGTGGGGTAATGCATATGCCGATAAGGCGACTATGCAAATGTCAAATAGTGCGCATACAGTGCAATTGTAAACATTCTTATTGTTTTGGTGATAAATTGCTAAACAGTATTTTAGTGGGGTGCACTTCATATCTGAGAGTCAAATAGAAGCGTCAAATACTGCTATCACATTGCAGTTTTAAAACTTAAAATTTTTTGGGTGCTAAAAAGTACATTAGTGGGGTGCACTTCATATCTGAGAGTAAAATAGAAGCGTTAAATAGTGCGCTTACAGTGCAGTTGTAAAAATTCTAATAGTTTTGCTGCCAATCTGCTAAATAGTACATTTTGGGCGTGCTCTTTATATCTGAGAGTCAAATAGAAGCGTCAAATAGTGCGCTTACAGCGCAGTAGTAAAAATTCTAATAGTTTTGCTGCTAAAGTGCTAAATAGTTCATTTTCGGCATGCTCTTCATATCTGAGAGTCAAATAGAAGCGTCACATAGTGCGTTTACAGCGCAGTTGTAAAAATTCTAATTGTTTTGCTGCTAAAGTGCTAAATAGTACATTTTGGGCGTGCTCTTCATATCTGAGAGTCAAAAAGAACCGTCAAATATTGTGGTTACAGCGCAGTTTGACAAATTCTAATTTTTGTGGGTGCTATATAGTACGTTTGCAGCCTGCACTTCATATCTGACAGTAAAATAGTCCCGTCAAATACCAATATAACAATATTGTAATTCGGGTGCAAAACCCTCACAAGGAGAGTTGTGTTCGGTCGAACCAGCCTGACCCGAACATCCAGGTGTCCGCTCAACTCTAGTTATAACCATTTATGCTCTAACCTACAATCTTCCTTGAATATGCTATCTTAGAAATTAGTTACAGTCCGTTTTTTAATCTGTTTATCTGTATCCTTATTGGAACGTATAAAAATTAGAAAAAGCACAGCTAATATTAAATACTTACAGATCTATCCTCCTGTCTGTCTGTTTGTCTTTCTGTCTGTCTATCTATCAAATACTTATCTATCAAATATTTATCTATCATCTATCTATCTATCTATCTATCTATCTATTGATCTATCATCTATCTATCTATCTATTTGTCTATCTGTCAATCTAGATAGATAGACAGATTGCACTCTCTGATGTATGAAATGCACATTGCACTTGTATAAACGTGCTTAGGCAGACCTCTTTTAGTCTATTTACACTATTTGTGAGTTAATAGACACATTGGTGCAGGGACTTTCCCGATTAATCTGAGACTCTAGGCCAGGGATAGTCAAACTTCAGCACTCCACATGCTTTAGACTACATCTCCCATAATGCTCTTACACCAATAATGCTGGCAAAGCATCATGGGAGGTGTAGCCCAAAACACCTGGAGTGCCGAAGGTTGCCTATTCCTTCTCTAGGCTAATGGCTTAATCAGTGATCTATTTGATTTTCCCAATAAAGAGAGACTCCTGCTGCAAGTGTGGATGTTAATTTTCTGAATTAATCAGTGTTATATTAGTTTATTTTTGTAAAATCCTTGTAATTGGAAAGATTATACTATATTGTCATCAATAACCTATAACTGTATACTGTTCTGTGCTTAATAAAGTAACTTTTATTATTTAACACACTCATTTGGTGTCATATTCTGCATTTGTGAACCTTATAAATATTTAGCAAATCACCATCTAGGGCCAATCTTTGGTGGGTGCGTGGGGTGTCCTTCTCCCCGGTAACAGTATTTGGGTGGCACCACAAGGAATCAGCCAATGGCTAGTCATGTGGGAGCTCATTGTGGCTGACTGGCCACATTAGGGCACCCCGTAGGCCATTGATTATTCTCAAACACAGAGTACCTGCAGTACAGGTAATTTAGTGCTTACTCTGCCAAAATATACTGGGGAGAGGACACAGTCAGTGGGGGAATGTCGATCTTCTAGTTTCTAACTGCTCCCTTGCATGTCCTCTGTGATGCTGAGAGCCAAAATATGATGTTACTCTTGCCCTGGCATCAGTAAAAGTGTGAAGGATCAGTGAGGAACTAGAAGATCAGAGGAAGGAATCAGGGGAAGATCCCCACTGGATCTCAGAGGTTCCAGAGAAGATCGCAACTAGACCCTATGGACCTAGGAGAAGATCCCCACTGGATCTCAAGGAGAGGACAAAAAAATGTACAATTGTGTGTCTGTCAGTGTTTGTGTGCATCTGTCATTGAGATTGTGTGTGTGTGTGTGTGTGTGTCTGCCAGTGAGTGTGTCTGTCAGTGAATTTGTTCCAAATCAGTGAGATTTTGTGCATGTCAGTATTTGTGTTCATATCAGTGAAGGTGTTTCTCTGTCAGTGAGTGTATGTTTGTCAGTGAGTGTGTCTGCCATTGAGTGTGTTTAAAATCACTAAGATAGTGTCTGTCATTGAGAATGCATGTCATTGTGTCTGCCAGTGAGTATGCGTGTCTGTCAGTGTGTCTGACAGGTATGTACTCTGTATGATTTGGACCAGTCGCTGACACAGTATCACTCATTGACAAGCAAACAATTTCACTGATTTGAAACACTCCGAAAGACACACGCATTGACAAACCCCCCACCCCCGACACATACTCTCAAGCACAGAAACACAATCACTGATTTGAAACATTCACTGACAAAAACACCTGTACCATTGAAAAAAAACAGAGTACAGTTCGAAACGTTGCAGTGTTCAATAAATCTTCCTGATTTATCAGTGAGTGCCTGAGATTTTTTCTTTTCGCTGAAAGAAAATGTGTGAATTTAAGTGAGTGTTTCTAAACATTATTATGCTTTCCTCCCCTTTTTGAGTGGTGTCTGTATAGAAAAAAATTGTACGGTGTTACAATGACAACTGTTACCATATACACATTAAGTAACAATGCACAGATACAATTACATTTGTATATTTCATAAGGCTTCTTAAAATCCCCTATCTTAACAAACAAATATGGAGATTCTGTTCCACCATATTGCCATATTAGTGCCACAATCAGTAAACTAAGATAGACAGGCACCCAGGTGAACTCGAGGCACTATTTACCAAATATATTAATGCAGTAATAAAAAATATGCTGAAATGAAGAAAAACTGGAACATTCTCTGTTTGTTAATGTCAAGGTACAGAAATAACCCGACATGCAGGAATTCAATCTAAGTGTCTAATGGGCATGGCATAGAAAAATAGGACTGATGGATATTATTGACTCTCAGTATGGCCACACTTAATGTGGTTTTTATAGAAATACAAAATGGTAACACGCAATCTCGTAGAACAATCAAGAACAAGCTGAAATATAAGCACAAAGCCGAATAGTCAAGTCCGGGGGAACCAAAACCCAGAACTAACATGGACACTCAGTAAACTAAGATAGACAGACAATATAAAACACTAAATACAAAATGTAGAAATACAGAGAAACTGGACAGTGAGGTTGGTGTCTGTGGAGTTTATATCGATAATTTACTCTGTGCATTGGTTTCTGTCATTCTTGATCACACAGAACGTATTCTGGAATTGGAGTAGGAATGACGATTGGGAATCTGACCCAGCAATATGATGCACATTCTGTTTGGAAAACATGGGCACGGTGTGGCAACGTCCTTCGTCAGAATTATCACCAGATTAAAGCTCGGTGGGGTGTATGGTGCAGGGGAGGTAACGTTACTGTTAACCTAATTACATCACTACTAATATTATTTAGATTAATATTCTTGTATGAACTTTTTAGTTTTACATTGTTGTGTTTTTTTTAAAAATGAAATATTTCCAGATAAAGTTGCAAAAATAGGTAATTATTTCAAATAATTATCATCCACTATTATATAAAGTCAGCTTTTTAGTTTGATGGAAATATATTGCCTTCTATGCTGATCAAATGGTTACACCATACTGTCACTAGTCTAATACTATCCTTACCTTTTTGTGTCATTTTACCCCACTCCCTCTAGCATGTAAGCTCATTGAGCAGGGCCCTCAATCCCTCTGTTACTGTGTCACTATACCCCACTCCCTCTAACATGTAAACTCACTGAGCAGGGCCCTCAATCCCTCTGTTACTGTGTTACTATACCCCACTCCCTCTAACATGTAAACTCACTGAGCAGGCCCTCAATCCCTCTGTTACTGTGTCACTATACCCCACTCCCTCTAACATGTAACCTCACTGAGCAGGCCCTCAATCCCTCTGTTACTGTGTCACTATACCCCACTCCCTCTAACATGTAAACTCACTGAGCAGGCCCTCAATCCCTCTGTTACTGTGTCACTATACCCCACTCCCTCTAACATGTAAACTCACTGAGCAGGCCCTCAATCCCTCTGATACTGTGTCACTATACCCCACTCCCTCTAACATGTAAGCTCATTGAGCAGGCCCTCAATCCCTCTGTTACTGTATCACTATACCCCACTCCCTCTAACATGTAAACTCACTGAGCAGGCCCTCAATCCCTCTGTTACTGTGTCACTATACCCCACTCCTTCTAACATGTAAGCTCATTGAGCAGGGCCCTCAACCCCTCTGTTCCTGTGTGTCCAACTTGTCTGGTTTCAACTACATGTCTGTTCTTCCACCCATTGTAAAGCGCTGCGGAATTTGACGGCTCTCTATAAATATCATAATAATAATAATAACACCATGCTGAAAATCACCAGATAAACCTGTTTAAAAAATCCACGTTACCGATGCTGAGGTCTTCCGTAAAGCATTGCCCTGTGAAACTGACCTGAGCAGTGTGATTCAGTATTAACAGGTAGCTTTGCAATTAACTAAGCCAGTCAAAATGTCAATTTACCTGAATATTTTATTTTTTTCAATTTATATTGTATTAAGTACCTAATTACATCACTACTAATATTATTTAGATTAATATTCTTGTATGAACTTTTTTTTTACATTGTTATGTTTTTTTTAATGACTTATATCTAGATAAAGTTGCAAACATAAGTGATTATTTGGAATAATTATCATCCACTATTATATAAAGTCAGCTTTTTAGTTTGATGGAAATATATAGCCTTCTATGCTGATAAAATGGTTGCACCATGCTGAAAATCACCAGATAAACCTGTTTAAAAATTCCACGTCACCCCACCTGTTAATCTGCTATAAAACCTAGAAATTGGTTTAACGCGCCATTCTTCCCAGCATACGATGCTGAGGGCTACATTAAAGCCTTGCCCCGCGAAACTGACCTGAGCAGTGTGAGTCAGTATTAACAGATAGCTTTGCAATTAACTAATGAACTAATTAAGCCAGACACAATGCCAATTTACCTGAATATTTGTTTTTATTAAATTTATAATTTATTAAGTACCTTAAAGATATGACAAAGGAAATAAAAAGAGAAAGTTTCACATCACAAGAGAATAATAAAATAGGGAAGAAAACCAAAAAGCTATGTTTACAAGTTTACAGAGTATCCATGCAATAAAAGTCCCTGGAGAGAGATTGTTACATGGCAATCGTCACATTAGCATGTCGTTCAACATACTGCATATCCCCCAGAATAAAAACTGGATAAGGGAAATAAACTCGGCAAGGGACCTATCAGAAAATTCAGGCAGTGTGACAGAGGAACTATGGAGCTGACCTTTCCCTGTCTGCCTTATGGTGTCCATGTGCCGGTGCGTAGGAATCCCATCTCCCCCTAATGGCATTGTATTTGTTAGTATGTGGGCAGAATTACACTGACCATTACTCATATCTCTCATTACATTCGATTCTCATAATAACCTCTAATAGAGGAGGGTAGGTGTCTTGTTTCCAATATTTTGCAATCAATGACTTAGTGGCTAAAGAGAAGTGAGCCAGTAGTACATTTTTGAAAAGTAAACCACGAGGGGGAAGAGGAAAAACAAAAAGACTAAAAGGGAGCCAATTAGCTCAATTTAGTAAAGATCTTGAGACATAGCATGGATTTGTTTCCAATGGGGTTGCAGCAACTTCTACGTACATGCTACAAGTTGAGGTTGCTAAAAGTTGAGGTTGCTACAAGTTGTTTGCACCTCCAGCACTGAGAGCAAGCTGTCTGGAAGATATGGGTTAGTCTGTCTGATGTCAGATAGCATCTAATATTAAACATGTAACGCACTTCTACACGATTATAACAATATGTCACTGCTTTAAGGATGTTAACACTTTTGTGCCAGCTGTGTGGGGGCATTGTAAGTTTTAGTTATTTCTCCCATTTAAGAGAAAATTGATGGTTTGCCTTTGGCCATAACAAGAGATAAGTACCGTACCATAAGGAGAGAACTTTAGTCTTGTTTGGAGTTTGAAAACAACAAAGTAAATTGACTTTTGTGAGTCACGTGCTCAGTTTACTGTAACTTTCAACTAAGTTGCCTTGGTATTAAAAATACCAAATATCCTCATTTTGATCATTTTCTATTGTTTTTCTGTATACATTTTCAATAAATATATTTTAATTGTTTTATTTTCATTTTTGATATTTTTTAGTGTTTACTTTCTTTACATACCATTAATTAAAGGTACTTTGACTCTTCCAGCTCCATACAGTTTGTTACATTTTATATCTGTATGTTTTGTGAAGCAAAATGCTGAAACTAGAAGAAATTCATTGTTAGGAGTTAATATAAAAATAAAGAAACAGTAAAATTGCAATAAGATCCAATATTTCTGTAGAATATTATAAAGGGTTTATTCAATGAAGTACAAGCTTTTATGTCTTACAATTAAATTTAGAATAAGAAGCCGAGCTAGAAAGTAGATTTCCTTCTATATTTCTAAATTTAATTGTAAACTCTCCGTAACGTGTTAATTAATAAAGAGAATCCTGTATGTTTCACTCAAAATAGTTTCTTATTAACAACATACAGCTCTGAATAAAACCAGATATAAATTGGATTTATTTGACCATCTTGGTTACATAATAAAACTTAAAAGGTTGAGCTCTAAGAATAATGTAAAATGAAGGTTACAAGTTGCCAGCATGAAAATCAATATGTCACTTGTAATTAGCGATTTGGTGCATATAACAACCATGAGAAGACCTCAAGGCAAATCTTCCAGCTGTCATCATTTCCTGGAACCTCAGATTCTGATTGGTTGAGGTTTTGCCTGTGGTTTGTATAAAAGGTGGATCTGAGATGGAGTTAAAACATATCTATAGACAGAACCTGTAAAGAGCGCACTATAGAAATAATCCCAGTTACGAAGACCTCAACTGGATGAAAATGGGAATCTACATCATCCTTCTGCTCTGTGTGATTGGGCCAGTCCTGAATGTACCTTTACCTCCACATTTACAGGTAACATAGCAAAACGACAAATTAAGGAACATTTTGTGAGTTAATCATTTAGATTGCTGACACTAATTTCATGATTGGACGCAGATATTTAAATGTCATTTATTGGGGATATTCCTACCTTGTAATAAAGTAATGTGATACAATAAAACATGCAGAGATTTATTTTTATTGAAAGTTCACAAACTGTGTTTCTTTATTTCACAGATTATGTTTCCTAATCTTAAAACGCTTGGTAAGATATCTGGTATATAGCTTTCTAATTCATATATTAATTTATCTATCTATCTATCTATCTGTCTATCTATCTATCTATCTATCTATCTATCTATCTATCTATCTATCTATCTATCTCTCTCTCTCTATCTATCTATCTATCTATCTGTCTATCTATCTATCTATCTATCTATCTATCTATCTATCTATCTATCTATCTATCTATCTATCTATCTATCTATCTGTCTGTCTGTCTGTCTATCTATCTATCTATCTATCTGTCTGTCTGTCTGTCTATCTATCTATCTATCTGTCTATCTATCTATCTATCTGTCTGTCTGTCTATCTATCTATCTATCTATCTATCTGTCTATCTATCTGTCTGTCTGTCTATCTATCTATCTATCTATCTATTTCTATCTATCTATCTATCTATCTATCTATCTATCTATCTATCTATCTATCTATCTATCTATCTATCTGTCTATCTATCTGTCTGTCTATCTATCTATCTATCTATCTATCTATCTATCTGTCTATCTATCTATCTATCTATCTATCTGTCTGTCTGTCTGTCTATCTATCTGTCTGTCTGTCTCTCTATCCATCCGTCCACCATGCGTCTGTCTGTCTGTCTGTCTATCATTTAATTTGTTTTACCTCCACATTTAATTTATATACCATTCAATGTATTTTATCAGTTTGTTATCATTCAATACTGGGTTTTAGTATATTTCATTAATATATTTTTATGATTCTTATCGAACATTTACTCAATTTATTTCCAGACAATAAAGTCACAAACACACAGGACACCATACTGGGTGAATTAGCAAACAATCCAGGTGAGTAAATTAGTAAAAAACAAGTAAAAATCAGAAACACAGCAATTTAGGATGAAAAAGGTCAAATTCTTTTCATTAAACGTGTCCCCTGCTGCTGCTGTTGGTTAAGTTAAACCCAATCTGAAATCATATCAGTTTTTATATCAGAAAAATAAAAATCTGCTCAGTACCAAAGCAATTTGATTTCTCCCTGGAGTAATAACTGCTCCCATTCCATAATGGATCCCACTAGGCGTATCCCACACATAGTGTAAATGAAGCATTAACGGGATGTCCAGTACAGATTGTTGGAGATCACTGGTTTTCAGAGATTCAGTATTTCTTTTTACTAATCGTCCTTAGTAATCTCCTTATCCAGCTCCCCTCTCCCTTGTACTGCTGCTGATCACGGCTTCTCTATCTGTGATTGGTTATGAAGGGATCAAAGGTTAGCCGAACCAGAACAGAACTCGAGGTACATTATTATCCACTTCTGACCCATATCAGTATCTCCCATTCCAATTCAAGTACATGCGTTTGTGCAAATCATATTTCCAGGTGACTTTCTTGTGATGTGAACGGATGTGGCTGACATCCACTGAAACATAGAGATATGGATTTTAATGACTTCTTCACTGAGAGCATTTCAGTCTGATCTTCATTAAACTTGTTATTACAGCACAAACTGTATCCTGGTGGATTAAAATATAACTGGGTTTCTGTTTGATGCGTGGGAACTTAGATCTATTTTGATTTATAAAAAAAAGATAATAAATGCATAAACTAAGAAAGTTCTCTTAACACCCAGCCTTTCTGAAACAATTTCTTAAAAATACGTAATTTTCCTTATTTATATTTAACAAATTAGATTGACCTCCCGATTTAGATGAATATTCTAATTTTTTATAGAATTTTCAATATATTTTCTCTGGCTAACGTAATCACAAAATAGTAAT